AAGGGAAGGAAGGTTGAGGTGGAGGGGGCCCTGTGGGCAAGTGGAAGGACCCTCCTCAGCTATAGGATCGCGCTCAACCCAAAATGCGTTTTGCATAAATGCGCTGGGTTTCAAGGTCTATGACCGAGGCACTGGGAGGCGCTTCACTGCTTAACCACGTATAAGTAATCCCACACAACCAACATGGATTCGAGCAGCGCAAACTTTCCCTTGTATAGTCGATTTACTCGTTGTCTACACTGGGTGTGTTTTTGTATCTGCCTGGGCTCTACGGAAGCTCTGGAGAAAGAGCCAACGGATTTCAGGATTTCTTCGGGAGGAGGGGGAGGTCACTTTTTACGCGGGACCAATTCAAGAGTATCCTATAATAGACAATAAAATACAAATGTGTGGGCATAATGTGGGTGTGATTAGAATATTTTGAACACAATCTGAAGGCTGCAGCAGTCATACTAACATATAATTTCCAGAGTAGAGTATGTATTTGTTACGTTGACTGACAGCAGCGACGTCACTTCCGGACTGTAATCCATTGGTAAACAGAAACGAGTAAAAGCACGAGGTGGTTTCAACGCCCTTTAGCGTTCAGCGAAGTAAACGATCCCCGTTGTCTTTAGACGTTGTATTTGTTGCGCTCGGTAAGTGGAATTACAGTTAGGCTATGTCACCTTTTTAGCCTATATCACAGAAACCGCGTTTAGTTTCTTAAGTTGCGCTTTCGCAATAACAGCCAAGGCGAATGTGAACGGATGCGTTGTGATTAAAAAGTAAGCGCCCAAAACTATTAAAACACGGAACGATTATTTTATAGTTTTAAAAGTATTTTTAACTAAATCTAAAAGTAGAGGAAACAACTAGGGGTGTATGCTATGTTTATTTTGCAGAGATAAGCGTAGATGAATAAACTATTATAATTATAATAATTAATATATATTACTATAATCGCTTTCAAACTAAACACAATGTTAAGAAAAAGATTTTAATATCATGACGTTTGCCCGTATCATATGCACGCCAAAGTCCATTTTTGCGTATCATACCACGAGTTTTCGTTTTTATTTGGCGTACTATTTATATGCATTTTCATGAGACCGGGCTCATTTCCCCTATTGCTTTGACACCGTTGTTTAATACCTTTACGTTTTTTAGACTCAGTATTGACAAATGCTCAGCCAACTTCAGCACAACCTTTGAATTTGCTTCCACACTTGTTAGATGGGAAAGGGGTTCGGTTTGTAAGATGTAGGCTATTGTACACATTCTGTGCGTTATTGTGTAAATATGAACAAGAGGTTTATTTGTGTTTACCTCACGGTGCACGAACCGCAGGTGTTCATCTCATCATTGAACCGCTGCCATAATACACAACAACAACATTAGAATCTTTTATCTGAGTGCGCAATCCCATTACGGAGGCCGCAATGACATAATTGCAGTTTTGCCACTTTCAGCAGTGTTTATCATTCAGTGCCGAAATGGCTCATTATTGAATTCAGCTGCTCAGCACAGATTAAACCGTGAACGGGATGAATGGAGCTGTCAGTCACTTCCTCAAACCAACAGTACAGTAAAGAGAGGTTTAATTGCCTCCACTGCTCTCTGGCCCCACAGTCTCACACACGGGCCCTTTCCTCCAACACACAAATATTGCAAAACAGCAGATAGCCTATACCATAAACACAGATAAATGCACATACGGACCCTTCCCCCTCGGTTTTTAGCCGACTAATCCCAGAACATCACGTAAATCAAAAAATAAATTCAGATTTAATTTGAACAAATGTTCAGTTACACAAATAGTAGCCTATGTTTTTACTGTAGCCGATAACTGTCATGAAGACAGAATATAGTTTTATTAATTTTGTCTTTCACACAAAAAATCCAGTAGCCTATCATATTCTTGTAATAGGTGTTAAGTAATCAACAAAATTAACCAAAATGTTGAATTGAGTTCTTGAGTGTACAGCTAAAAGTTTATTAATTTGTATATTAATTTATTTATTAACAGTCAATGCTTTAAGATTTGTGTCTTCAGAAATGGACTTTCAAAAATAAAATCGCCAGTGTAAAAAGTGGAACTAGCCCTGGTCTCCCGTTCTAGCTTCTAATAAAAGTTCTGAAAAGTTAGTTGGATATTTTACAAGACATGTTTTGTCAGGTAAAATCAAATGAGGCTTATATGATTCAAGTCATAAATATCGTTTAATCTGGGTACATTACGTTACAGTGCATCTAATTTATTTTTTAGGGTCAAATCAAGACGTAACAGTAGTTCTTATAAAAACTACACACTCTTAAAAATAAAGGTGCTTCGCGATGCCATAGAAGAACCTTTTTTTCTAAATGGTTCTATAAAGAACTTTTAACATCTGAAGAACCTTTCTGTTTCACAAAAGGTTCTTTGTGGCGAAAGAAGGTTCTCCAGATTATAAAAAGGTAAGAAAGAGATGGTTCTTTAAAGAACCTTTGACTGAATGGTTCTTTGTGGAACCAAAAATGGTTCTTCTGTGGCATGGCTTGAAGAACCTTTTGAAGCACCTTTATTTTTAGTTCTTCATTCTGATAGACTGCAAAGAAATATTCAATGTCAATATTGTTCAATTACAATTTTCCTTATTAGTCTTTTTAGTTAATGAGACCATAGAAGCAACCGTGAACGTTATTTAAATAGCTGATCTTCCAAATGAACAAAATACAGCTACGAAAACGTTTAACCCGGAACGACAAATCAAATAGAAAACGTTACACTAAAACACGGAAAATGCCATGAACTCGCAACAATTTAAGACGTCGTGAAAACTAGACGAACGTATGAAAAACAGAAATGAACGTATTTTATCGAAATAATTGGCTACGTAAAAATGTAGGCCAAGTTGCTAATATTTCACAATCACATGTAATACACAAACACACTATTAAAGTAATTTACAAACCCAAAGAGTTATATAGGCCTAATAAAAAACAATATGGATGCGAGTTTTTTTTTTGTTTAATTTTACCCGAAATACAGTCGCGGTTTTTGCGATCTTATTTTCGCAAACACATGTAAGTAACCAAGAATAGCAAGTTCATTAATGAAATGGACAGTTATTTGCTTTTTTTTAATCACATTTTTTCCGACCGCAGCTATTTTCCGTACCATTTATTAATAGGAACTTGTGTAATTGTGTGCATCTGTTAAAGTTGCCAGTTTTGTGGTTTGTATCAATAAGAGTTTGAAAACACGCTGGCAGCTCAGTCAAACCAGCTGTAGAGCAGCTGCATCGCATGCTCTCACCATCTGTGAAGATGCGAGGAAGCTGCCACACCTTCATAAAACTAATATTATAGGAGTGTTCACTTGGCTTTGAGCAGAGTTTTCTGCTTCAATCCATCAGCGTCAGATGTCGCAGTGACACACAAAGGTAGTGACACTCAGGCATAGAGACAATACTCTGCCCGGAGGAGATCCTGACAATGAATGACTGACACACAACACACAAACCTTGACGTGCTGATATGGGCTCGCTATAAAATATGGAGCGCACTTTATCATTAGATAGAACACGAGAGAGAAGACAATGCAATCTTTATGCAGATAGACTAGGCTACAAAGTGTATTTTCTTTGTATAGCCTATAGGGTGTCAGATTTGCATAGCATGATTAAAAATGACTTCAACCCCCTCTAGAATGGCAGTAACCTTAAATTAATTTTGTGTTGGTTACAGAAAATTAAACTACTCTAAAACTACCCGCAAGATATGGAAGAGGAATGCATGATGCATTTACATTTTTCATTTCATACATATACATTATGTAAATATATGATGCTATTTCAGAATTATTCGAAAGTAAGATCGAAATGAAGTTAGTTTATTCAGAAATAGCATAAGGTTTTGAACTACCTTTAGCCTACTTTACAATTAAATGAAATCTCACCAGTCAGATCACAATCACAAATAGCCTAATAGGTTTTTCTAATTTCACCTTTTCTCATGAGAATTCAATCTTCTGCAGGACAATGCATGAGTGGACATTAATGCATTTGTATATTCATAATTTACTTGATTATCACGCATGATCAAACTTGTGGTTTTATTGTACATTCATCAATTACCAATACAGCAACCAGAAGTCCAACCCTTTATATTCCTGAAACTGTGAATAGGTTCATTATTTTAGCGTACACTGACCACTAGTGGCTGTTCAGTGCATTGATTTACAATTGCTTTATGACACACAATTTATTATAAAAAGCATTTTGAAAAAAGAAGTGAATTTTATTTGCTTGAAAGTAAAAAAAAAATAAAAATACAGTAAGAGACCGAAACAAGCCGTCACCCGTTAAAATTAGTCTGGTAGAAATTATTTTGAATTTCCATTTGAAAGGGCATGAACTTTTACAGAGATCCAGAGACCTCATAAAAGCAGTTATATGGAGTTAAGAATAGGCATACAATACTATGCTGGAATAAGGCTGCCAACATTCAACGTGTAATGGCTCGATTTACATGCTGGCATCAATCAAATAAACTAACAATGTACATGATTTCAGGCACTTTGGCTCGACAAAACAGACCAATATTAAACACAAAAGATGAATGAACAGCCCTTAAAGTGATCATCTCATTAGAAATCTATCAGGGCAGACAAAATCTCCAACATTTGCTGGATCTAAATGATTTTGAGTAAAGTACTATCGAATTCAGTAGATGAATCAAAACATTCAAACTTTAAAGCCAAGATGCCAACAGAGTTCATGGTGAAACATGTAAGTTTGATTTTGTGGTCAGCAGTGCCTCATACTGGTACAGATACAAGAGGCTGATTCACAGTGAGCACAAGCATCACTCATAGAATTAGTTTAAAAACCTTAGAATCACATCAGATTGGAGCAAGACAGTGCAGAAACACAGACATAAGAGCATATTATATTTGTTTTTATCTAAAAGAAACATTCAGTCATAACACTGGAATTCAGTTACAGGAAACACACACTATTTGATAGTTTTTTTTTTTAATCCAAACCTGAAAAACGACAAATCACAGAGAGCTACAGCAAACGACAGATCATTCCTGCATTCCATTGTAACAGTACAAACAAGCTAGTAACCACACTTTGTTTCCAAACGCTGCGAGCAGAAAGCAGTGACACTGACAACAGAATTCCAGAATCTGGAATATTCTGTCGCTGCCGACACGAGATATGTGGCACTGACTGGGAAGTCTGTGAGGTTCAGGCGTTCAGTCGAAGCCTTGCCAGTCGCTTTGCTCGGAGTCGTACTCGAGTTCTGCTCCTATGCAGCGCACGCCTTCCAGCAGCATCGGAGTCCCGTGATGCCGGTCTGACAGAGGAGAAGTTAAGCAAGTTACAAGTTAAACTCTATATGGACAGCATCATCAGTGCACAGAACACGCTGTTTTAAAGGAATAGTTCACCCAAAAATGAAAATTTGCTGAAAATGTACTCACCCTTGTTTCTTCCTCAGAACAGATTTGGAGAAATGTAGCATTACATCACTTGCTCAGCAGTGGATGTTCTGCAGTGAATGGGTGCCGTCAGAATGAGAGTCCAAACAGCTGATAAAAACAACACAATAATCCACACCACTCCAGTCCATCAGTTAACGTCTTGTGAAGCGAAAAGCTTCATGTTTGCAAGAAACAAATCATTAAGGCGTTTTTAACATTAAACCATCACCTCTGGCCAAAATCCATAATAACACTTCCTCCAGTAAAAAAGTTCATCCCCTGTAGTCAAAATCCACACACACATTTGTTTAGAACTGCTTTGGACAGTTTTCATATGTAAACGGTGCTTGATCTGTTCATATTTCACACCTGATTCAGACAAGATTACTTTTTCAATGTAGAAAGCAATATTATACATAGAGGACTCGTATTTTAGCCAGAAGCAATTGTTTAAAGTTAAAAGCATCTTGATGGATTTTGTTCTTACAAACATGCAGCTTTTCACTTCATAAGACTTTAATTTGTGGACTGGACTGGAGTGGTGTGGATTACTTGTGTATTATTGTGATGTTTTTATCAGCTGTTTGGACTCTCATTCTGACGGCACCCATTCACTGCAGAGCATCCATTGCTGAGCAAGTGACGTAATGCTACATTTCTCCAAATCTGATATAGAAACAAATTCATCTACATCTTGGATGGCCTGAGAGTGAGTACATTTTCAGCACATTTTCATGTTTGGGTAAACTATTCTTTTAACTTTTAAAATGCCATGATTGGTACAAGATAGGTTGAGAGCATCTGTTACATAATGACAAAATATTGTCTCTGTTCTTCCTTTTCTTTAAAAATGGCAAAAATCTGGGTTACAGTGAGATACTTACAGTGGAAGTGAAAAGAAATAAGGGACAAGTTGAAGTTATTTTTGTGGGGATGAACATTATGCCACATGCTGCAGATGAGTTTACCTAAAATATTCCTTTAATAAAAACACCAGTAGAGGGCAGCAAATAACCTGACATCTGATCTCCTTCATTCAGCATATGCCTTAAATATCGTCCCAAAATGTCTCAACAACTATAACTCTAAGAAACTGCCAGGAAAATAATAAATATGCTGTCACTTACCCATGACACGAGCATGAACTTTAACCTTCACGCTTGCATCCTCTTTGTTCTCACTAAGAATCTGCGCCTCCTCACACATCACTCCCTCCTGATGGGCCATATATTCACATGTCACCCTCAGACCTCCTGAAGACACAGATTCAACAACAAAATGTCATTTATACAATCATCTACAGATCCATCTACAGCCATTGTGCAAAAAAGAAGTCTTTATCTAACAGACAGAACGTTTGTTTAGCTGTAGGTCACACCAGTTTAGGAAAGGACTCACACTCATGAGTTCAGCTAGACGTGTAGGCTATCCATTCATGGGCACATCTCCTGTTTGATACCTATATTTATCCTTTCCTGAGTACGCGCACGCAATCATTTCGAGACTCCACTGCCTCGCGTTTTTAAACACACAAAAGCGTCCACTGTGTATTAAACGGCAACATAACATATTCACTGAAAATGACGCATTTGCCTTTAATTTCCCCAGATGTCTCACAGAATGCATATTATAAGATATTCAACTACGCACTGAATAATTAAAAAATGCTTTGCTATTTTAATATATGTAAATAAACGAAACATGCATCAAAGCGGCTTCATTTCAGCACCACAAGTGGCATCATAAACTCATTTGACTTCCTGCCAAATTATTACCCACCTCGTTGAAATCGCTACCTGATTGCCTAATCCTAACCCCTCCCCCACACCTAACCCTAAACCTGCCAATACTAGGGGGGGTAATAATCTGGCGGGGGTCTGAATTCGGGACTACTCCAGTAGGGCTGCACGATTAATCAAAATTAAATCGGCAAAGGCGATAAATCGCGATTAGGCAGAGGCTGCGATTTGTCATGCGTATACAGAAGATTTAACTGCTTTCATTAATTCAACGTGACTAATAAACACACGACTACAACAATATATGGTTTATCAGAGTTCGTCTTATAATTTTTATTATAATAAAGTATATTATAATACAATGCTAATCGACATTTATCACTGCTTATAATACTATGAAATATGTTGTGTGCCTTATTCTGTGTAAGAAGCCACATCATCTCACAGAAGGATTTATTTTCAAACACTCAACTGACGTTATGAAGTGAGTTTGGAGTAAAAACGTTATTAAATGTGCTATTTTCACGTGCTTTTAGATGAAGCAGCGTTTACTACACAGAGCTGTAGTTCACTGAGAAGCTACGCAAACAGCTTTCATAATCACAGAACGATTTCATAATCGCGCGATTAAATCGTCTGCGATTATGAACGCGATTTTGCGTAGCTTGTCAGTGAACTACGGCTCTGTGTAGTAAACGCTGCTCCATCTGAAAGCACATGCTGGAGATTTACTACTAATCACAGAACCGGCTTTACTGACGACAAGATACGCATGACAATAGCATTCAATTAATCGTGCAGCCCTATACACCAGTCTCCAAACTAATGGTGCGTTTCCACTACAGCATCAAATCTGCGCTCAGTGCCGCTGGCAACGCTACAACACCACTGCTTTGGGGCATGTCAAATTTAGGGCAAAGCACGTCTCTGAAAACAGTGTTTACACCCTGTTTGCGTTTCATTTTCTTCTTTTAATGGCGGTTATAATGAAAGCATGCAAAGTGCATTTACTTTTCCATATGACTTTTTCAACTACAAGTGATTTTAGCTCAGTAATCCACCAGTTCAGCAAACACTTGGAAACATGTCAAAATCTTGCCTTGCCTACTTTTCACAGCGATTGGTTGTCGCCCGGCGTTTGTCGCTCGATATTTGCATAAAGTTGAGAAATGCCCAAACTTTTTGACGCTCTCACTGCTTTCTATCCCATAATGCACCGCGCGAGCATTTAAGATCAACTTCTATAGGAATGGATTGAAAACACTCACTCCGCTGCGCTCGCTAGTGGAAACACACCGCAACGGTATTGAGACATAAATTGACATGTTAGGAGTGGGACACTCATAGTATAAACACAGTAGTTACCATTTAATGAAGTATGGTTTCCCATACTTTGGTTCATTCAACGGTTTAGTGGCCGTTCACAAAGAACGCTTTTCCCATTCTACTACGCTGCTCTTCCATTGTTTTTCTATGTAAATATGCGCTAGATAAAACTTTTCTTCGTAAATATGCGCTAGATCAAATTTGCTGACGCTGAGCTGGCATTTCAGCGCTGCGTTTCTTGAACACACAAGTTCAACATTTAAAAACGTGTCTTGAGAATCCAGTGCCATGCTTCTCGCATTTTTAAACCACTGATCTATATATCTAGCCTATATATAATGTTCTCTATTATAGATCAGTGTTTTTTAAATGCACAAGCGCGTTCTCTGTACTTTGAGAATGGTATTCACTGAAAAATGACGCACTTAACCTTTAAATTCACTAGATGTCTCACAGAACACATAGGCTAAGCTACTCAGCTGCACGTTAAACCATAAATCCTCTGTTATTTTAATGCCTGTAAATAAATACCATATAGCCTATGTATCTATTTGTTTAATTGATCACGCCAATACTCTCAAATGAGCACCAGTTTAAAGAGTAAAGAGTGTTTTTCGTCAGCAGAGCCACAGCATTCAAAGCGTTCAGTGATTTGCGTATTCAGTAGCACTATGCGGTGATTCACGCTTGTTGAAGAAGCATTTGTAGACCGGTGATCATAGAGCACTCGTTCATTTTTTCTCATTAAATAAACTCATAGAAATAACTGGTGGAAACTGGTTGTGAGGGCCATTCGCTGGAATATGCTGTATGGCTCTCAGAGGAGTTTTATTCTTAAGAGCACGTGAGGCTCAGCCATATCTGCGATCTGTATGTGCGAATGCCATTGTAAAAGTCTCTTATAAAGAAAGTTTCCAAAAGGCAACGACGCCATAGAATAACCATTTTCTGTTCCACAAAAAATGTATCAGTGAAAACTATTTTTGTCTTAGCGTGAAGAACATTTTAATCATCTAAAGAAACATTTTACCATAAAGAACTTTTTGTGGAACGGAAAGATTTCATGGATGTTCATGTTTCTTCATGGAACCATCAATACCAACAATAAACCATTTTTAAGATTGTTCAACATCATCGCTACTAGAATAAACATCTACTAATTTCTACAATAGTAGCCTATCCTATCCACCTTTTTCTTCAACGCAGAAGTAAGTCCATGGGCAAGGCTTCCGGTTCATTAGCCGCTATAGGGAAATAACGAGAAGAATAACAACGTGCAGTAAAAGGTCAAACTGTTTGCACTACAAACCAGTGTGTTCACAATTAAGATAATAAGGTTTTCAATATCAAGCAGCAAAACGAACGTTTTGTACAGCTAAAAATAGCTGGATGTGGATGAGACTACAAGCCAAACCCATAGAAAAAGGTGGATAGCAGCTAATATACGGGGTTCAATATGCCTAAAGGATTAGAACAGTTAAGGCACACTTAAAAAATGGGAAAGGAAATATTGTAGGTCAAAGGTGTTTGGCTGACAAAAAACGTTTGGGAATCACTGCAATAAGTCACACAAGTCTTCATCAACAGGTTCAGCTGTTTTGGGTCAGAACCTCGAGCGATGGGACGTACCGTCTGAGGATGGCGTTATGTTAGTTATACGGAGGTGAGGATTGGGGATGGGGGCTGGACACATGTCTTTCCCGAGCTCTGGCATCTCCGGCAGTGTGAACACGATCTCATATCGGTGCTGTGTTTTCAGGAAGCCCACCTGAGGAGATGGAGAGAAGCAGAGAGGTTATGGTTGGGTGTCAGCAGGTTTATGATGATATGAGATTTATGAGACACCAGAATTATGAGTCAGTCTGTTGTTTGCACTTAATCTGAGATCATAGTTTACCACGATAAATGATGTTAATGAAATCTTAGCAGAGTGATGAAATCATTGTATGGATTACAGTTTACTCATTTATGAATCCCTAGTTGACTTTCATTTATGAATCATAGTTGATTGCTTCATTGATGACATAGCTGATATCATTAACGAAATCAGCCTTGATGAACCAATGATGAAATCATAGTCAACTTAATTCAATGAATTTAGAACCAATCAAACAATAATTTTTACAATCATAGTTGGCTTTGTAACCCAATAAAGGCTGACATTTGAAATAATAAAAATCTTTTTTTTTTTTTTTTTTTTGAATGGAGCAGTTGAATCTATCCAGATGCCCAAATAGAGAAAAACTATGCAATTTCATGTAGATGCTGATATTTAGATGATCAAAAAATAAGATGAAATCCTGATAGCTTGTAATGTAAGTCAATGAGATCTTCATTTTAGGAGCATGAAAGACATTGAAAATCTATTCTATAATCCATTATATGATCCACTGATGTAACTGGATGAAACTGTTTCACAGCCCTAAAAAAATCTGTCAGATTTAATGTTCATTACTTAAAGATCGTACTAACCAAGGAAGGAAATCAGGATGATATTTTGAAATAAAAACCAAGGGAACTGGTAAAGTGGGAAGGACAGTGACAGAACTCATGCCAGGAAACATCAAACTGCATCTGGGTCTCAGTGAAGGATGACAGAATCAAATAACGTCTTATCTGACCAGAGCCCTCATCAAAAACGCTATAATCAAACAGAACAGACACAGTCCAGAGGTACAGGTGTTTATATACTGCTCGACGGCGCTGTAGCTGGTCTCCATGGCAACAAGGGGCAGTAACAGGGCAGTTTGAGAGAGACATCTGCAATGAAAAGAGTCAGAGAATATGACACCCGCTGCAGAGTGAATGCAAGCATGATTGTGTATCTTGTCTCTTAGATATTAGCGAGTAGGAGGATCGCAAACACTGACTCTCTGTGCCATCAAATATGTTCAAAAAGTCACTGTTCTCAAAACAACAAGAAGCAACTTGTGAGAGTGGAGCTTCAGTAAACTATTAAAAACATGTTAAGAGTCGACATGATATCAAAATAGATCCTGTTTACTTTCATAATACACATTCCTTTTTTTAATGAAAAACAAACACAGACTGAATTATAACAATAACATTCTAGTAAACAAAAGTAAAAAAAAAAAAGATACGAAAAAAATACAAATATACTAAATAAAAAAAAGAAAAAATATCTAAATACGTATATAAATTTAACTTTAAATTATTTATAAGATTTATATTTGAAAGCTTAAAGCATAATGCTTAGATTATGCAATGAGCTCAAATGTAATAAATTTAATAATTTTTGTAAAAAATTATTTCCGTCTATGCATGCACCCATCCATCATCATTCCATCCATCCATCTATTATTCTAGCCATTATTAATAATTTTATCCATCCATCCATCCATCGTTCCATCCATCCCGTTCTATGCATCCATTGTTCTATACATCGTTCCATCCATCCATCATTCTATCCATCCATTGTTTGTTCTATCCATCATTCTATCTATCATCCATCCATCCATCATTCTGTCCATACATTGTTCTTTCTATCATCCATCCATCCAGCCATCATTCCATCCATCCGTTCATCCATTCATCATTCCATCATCCATCGTTTGATCCATCCATCCAACATTCTATCCATCATCCATTCATTCATCCATCCATCCATCGTTCGTTCTATGCATCCATTGTTTTATACATCATTCTATTCATCCATCATTCTGTCCATCATCCATCATTCTCTATCATCCATTAATCCACCATTCTATCCATCCATTGTTCTTTCTATCATCCATCCATCCTTCATTCCATCCATCCATCCAACCAGCCATCAATTGCTTGTTCATCACATCCATCTGTCTTTCATTCATTCCATCCATCCATCATTTGCTCTATCCATCCATCCATCGTTCATTCTATGCATTGTTCCATCCATCCATCACTCATTCCATCCATCCATCCATCCATCGTTTGCTCTATCCATCCACCATCCATCCATGGTTCGTTCTATCCATTGTTCCATCCATCCATCCTTCCATCTATGCAAGATGTTCTAAAAAAAAAAAAACTAAGCCTGATCACTTAGAAAAGTAACATCTGCACTTCTCTTGAGCAAGCAGCATGATTTGAGATATCATTCAGCTTCACACATTACAAAATGAGTTGCACAGCTTAAAAGTAAGGGGTATTTACTTTTAAGTAAATACCAGGGTACAGGGTAAGGAGTGTGCTCAGGGCTATTACTTTGTATTGTATTGTTAAACTGCATACCGTTTATCGCTGACTGTATTGCAGACAAGGCTTAACTTTGCACTATCGCCTTGTTTGCATTGGCTTGTGTATTGTTTATCTTGTATTGTGTAGTAATAACATACTTTATTATTATTATTACTTTTTTTATTTTTTTATTTATTTTGTATTACAGATGTTTAAGTTACATGTGACTGCACTGTTAGGATTGCTCAAATTTCACTATACTTGTATAGTGACAAAGAAATCTTGAATCTTGAATCTTGAATTTGTTTAAATAGCTTGCCTTAGTGAGACCCACTAATAAAAAGCTTGATGGCAATGCATTGCACCAAAAAAATTAGAAAACAATTAGTATCGTCAAAGCTGTGGTGTAGCAGTCAGCGCACATGCTCTGACATATTGACCTGTGCTGCTCATATGTAGGCGATGCAGTTCAAATCTGGCTTGTGTCATTTCCTGATCCTGTTTTTCCTCTTGAAATCCCAGATACAGCTGGAACGGCTCCTGGCATGAGTTCTGTCACTGTCTTTTCATATAATAACAAGGCTAGAAGTCAAGTAGCACATGCTGACCAAAGGAAAGAAGCTGAAGCTTTGATGTGAGCTGAGAAATAAAATCAATGTTCTTCCTGTAATATGAACTCATATTCGTGACTGAAGACCTTCAAATTAAGCTAATGAACGATCCCAGCAATTTAATTCGCTCTCACCTTAACCAGGAAGTTCCCGTTTGATTCGGGTATCACCATGACGACGGAGTCGTGCAGTTTCTCGTCAAAATGCACATGAGAGTGAGCGGTGGCGGCCGCAGCGGGTTCCTCAGCGAAGCGAACGCCCCCCGTCTTAGACGCTGCTGCAGGAGGAACAAAAGCAAAGCGCTTACAGCTGCGCTAATTACACACCGACCGCAGGCTTACAGACATCCAGATTGTGAGTCTCTGAATGATAATGTTCTGCAAGAAGCTTTTAAAGTTGAAATTATTCAAATCAAGCTTGCCATCTGACACCTGAAACCCCTGAAAGACCTTCAGTCTAATATCAGAGATCTTTTCATTTCTTCACTCAAAGAAAGTTATAGCAAAAGTGGGCTTACATTAGTCAGGTTGTGCATTGAATTTACCAGCTTCAATTTAAAAAGGCATAAACTGCATTTAAGTAGATGAATACAAAACCAGATCAGTTTAAAACACTTGGATCAGTAGGAATAAAGTTGATGTGTACAATAACCCCAATGCCTTTAAGGTCTTACATGCTTTAAAAAAAACTGTTTTTAATTTAAAGGAATAGTTCAACCAAAAATGAAAATTTGCTGAAAATGTATTGACCCTCAGTCCATCCAAGATGAGTTTATTTCTTGATTGGAACAGAGTTGTGGAGAAATATAGCATTATATCACTTGCTCAGCAATGGATCCTCTGCAGTGAATGGGTGCCGTCAGAATGAGAGTCCAAACAGCTGATAAAAACATCACACTAATCCACAAGTAACCCACACCAGTCCAATCCATCAGTTAATGACTTGTGAAGTGAAAAGCTGCATGTTTATACGAAACAAATCCATCAATCATTTCAATCTGATGCTTCCCGCTAAAATATGAGTCCTCTATCCAAAATATTGCTTCCTCCAGTGAAAAAGTCATCTGGTTTGAATCAGGAGAGAAATCTCTCACAGATTTCTGCTCGTTCTAAATCAGATAAAGGAGCACAGTAGAGATTGAGAGCGATTGCGTGTGTGAATTAATTCTACCTGGCAGCGTCTCTCTACTAGTAGTGAAGCTGTGGGATTTAGTTATTAAGAAATATATGCTTGAACTTTTCAGTTTCTAAGCTATTTTATTGAGAAATCACAGACCAGTGTTGACAATACATTTCTGCGCTGAATGATTCTGTGCGCGCATGATGTACGCGCTACTGTCTGTAGCCTATGTGTGTGCGTTACAGTGCAGCAGCGCATTAGATTAGAACGGCGATTAACTTACCTGTACAATAAGCTGTTTAAAACGTGCATTCTCCTGTTCAATTTCGAGCATCCAGTAATATAATCACACATGTCTTTTGGAGCGCTTTCAGATTATGCATTTATTCGTCATTTTGACTGTTTGGAAACGGAGCGTAAATGTGGAAGTCAAATGTCTTGATGTATTTGTTTCTTACAAACACGCAGCTTTTCACTTCACACTATGTTAACTGATGGACTGGAGTGGTGTGGATTACTTGATGTTTTTATCAGCTGTTTGGACTCATTCTGACGGCACCCATTCACTGCAGAGCATCCATTGCTGAGCAAGTGATGTAATGCTACATTTCTACAAATCTGTTCCAATGAAGAAACAAACTCATCTTAGGTGGCCTGAGCAATTTTTCATAAAATTTTATACAAATTTTCCTTTTTTGGTTGAACTATTCCTTTAAGCTTTGGATCAAACAAGCACCTAAAAAGAGAATAAAAAATATGCAGACAACAGGATATGACCTTTTGTATGCAGATATGAATGCTTGGCTAATGCAGAGTATGTTTTGGGCCTAACAAAACTGATATGGCTGATTTTATTTGTAGTCTTTCTTTCCCACAGGATTTATTAGGGACTGAAAAACTGGTTTCAGGTTCACATGTAAGATGCATTCAAAAAGAGCTAGATAGAGCGCAACAAAATGGAACAAGAATATAGGAGCCTTTTAAAACTGTAATTATTTATTAAAAGATTTTACAGCTTTTACTGTGCAAGCTGTCTAACACCTTCAGCACATTCAAAGTGCTAATTAAAATACCAGAACTAAAAATATCAAAACTAAAAATAAAGAAAGAAAATCTCTTGCAATGTTCTTCCAGGCTCTTCACTTTAACAGTCTGATTTAATAAAGCAATTAATCAGGCCCACAGGGGTACATTTCTCAGACACAGATCAAACCCTGTCTTGAACTAAAGTGCATGAACAATGCTAATTCTTCATTTAAAATCCATTTATGGTGCAGGATCAGGTTACGTCTATGTTAGGGAAACCATCCCTACCGAACAGCATTTATTTGAAATAGAAATATTCTATAGCATGTCTTTGCTGTTACATTTAATCAATTTAATGCCGAATCTTACTGACCCCAAACGTTTGAACAGAATCTAAACGCTCTGGACCGACTGAGCACAAAGTCCACTGTAATGAACATCAGCTGTGGAGATTTGTCCTTCATTTTCACTCTAAAATCCTCCATGTCTGATCAAAGCCTCTGTAAAAAACCCTGCTTTTATTGCACTTTGGAGAGAAGATGTCGCAATTAATTTCCCTTTTTGTGTGAACTTTTTCTTCTACTTTAAATCTAAATTAAATGAGCACTTAAAGATTTTTACATTTTCTGAAGAAAACGTTCTTGCTGATCGCTCATGCTAACCTTGTTAATACAAGTGGAGGGTTTTTGAGCTCTCTTCAAACTCAATAACTAATTTCCATGATATTCTAATATCTGGATATGACTCAAATAGTAATGTAACAGCTTGCCAAAAAGCCACATGATTGCACAGACACAACTGGTGCAGGATATGTGCTGAGAGTTTATTCAGATCACTAAACCAAAATATGAGCAACAATAATATCGGCCAATGGCAGCCACAATAAGATTGTGATATTACAGACATTAGTTATAATGTCTTATCATTCACGCACTGTGTGTGTGTCAAATGAAGTCTGCTAATCCAGAGCGCAGCGTCGGCCCTGGGGACCCATCGCTTGAAATGAGCGGCCCCTGACAGACCGACAGACTGCAGATTACATCAGGGCCTCTTTAGATCCCTGCGCTACGAATAAAAATAAATGACATTTGAAATTCAGAGAACATCGTGTGAAAAGAACAGGAGTTATAAAAACAAATAAAAGATGAGAGTATTGCCAAGATATTTCAATGTTTATGGCCAATAAACATTGCATTTATTAATTTAGCAGATGCTTTCATCTAAAGCGTCCTACAAATGAAGAGCATTACGTTATAAAAGCCAACTATTTTTGCATTGTGCAATGCCAAGTGTAACTCATAAACTAGATTAGCACATGCAATTTTAGGTATTTGAATAGATTTTACAAATATGAGAGTGATATGAGTCTGGAGGGTCAGTGGTGATCCTGTTCGCCTGCAGGGCTTGTGGCTACAGAGATAAAATTACACATAATGTAAGCTGGGATGGGCCGGCATTTGTAGCAGGAGTGTCTACATTATTGGCCTCATTACAGAGGTTATGGGACTCCAACTGTTCGGCCAATGTAGAGCAATATAAACACTCTCACGTGTGACAGATAGACCTGCCAACCAGCGTCTCACGGTCCGGATGACCAACACAGAGGCATCTGTACACTGTTAAAATACTCTCTGTCCTGGAGCAGAGATCTAGAATTAAGCTGGATACACGTGTAGTAGTCTACATTTTATGACCTATGAGTACAACATTGAACAGATTATTTATCACCACACCAGCAGGGCCTGAAGAGTTTATGTATTTATGTCCATGACTTTCGGGTCTTTATGACACTCTCCTGAGCCCCAAACGCCTCGAAGAAATGCATCGAAAATGCGTCTCAAGAACACAGACGTTTCACTAGTGATTATCCTGATATGCAATGTCAAAACAACATAATAAATAATAAGAAATATTGTAGTACACGTTTTACCAGTGCCAGATAATTTGGCAAAAAGCATGAAATAATAATAATAAACTTTCTTTTTAAAGCAAGCTTCTCAGTGTGCTTACAGAGAAAACATGAATATAAAACATAAATAATTTAAAAAATAATTAAAATACATAAATATAAAACGGATCAAAAAAAGAAATAATAATAATAAAGGCTCCAGCATCCGTGCAACTCCACATAAGCCAATAGGCTAGAAAAACGGATGGAATTATTTTATTATTATTATTATTATTATTAATAATAACGAATAATAAACAGCTTTATTTTTAAAGCAAGCTTCTAAAGCAAGCAAATTGCTTAAACAGAAAAGAAGAATATAAAAACTGCAAGAAAAATAAATAAATAAATAAAATAAAATGGATCACTTTTTGCCATTGAGATGGCTGGGAAAAATGGTCCAATTGTCCTTATATAACCCTATATTAAATATAGAATATTTAGAAAATATAGAAAACAGCATATATAAACATATCAAAATATTATCAAATAAAAGTTATCCTGAAAAAATAAAAGAATAATATAAGATCTTCATTTAAGATCCATTTTGTGAGAATCTGCATTTCTCTAACATCAGAGTGATCCAAAGTATTGGAGTAAATTGAGTCATTAATATTTTCCACATTCCTCTTTGAGCTGAATCACATCTGAACCCAAAGCTGTTCTTTGTGGTGTTGTTCTTTGAAAGCAATCAGAAACGCTGCAGTCTGGCTGGGACCAGAGATGGACGGGCTTTCTATTAAACGAATGCCCGGCGGTGCTGTAGAGGCACCGCATTTTATGAACCTCATCTAAAACTTCACACAGTCACCATGGCAACAACGAGAAATCTGGCCCCTGAGAACTGGCCCATGGAAAGGAGCATTTCCAAAAAGCTGTTCTGGGGTCCGTTTCGTGCTTTAATATTCAACGACAAAGCCAGTGATGGGAAGATGCTTTGTGAATGTTGCACAGCAGTCTGAGCTGAAGAAACCGTAGATGTTCTGGAGCTGCTGCAACAATACGCAGCATGACAACAGACCCTCTGCCTTCATCCAAAATGAAACTTTATCGCATTCGTAAAACAAAAACAAAATTGAGGCCATCTTTGTGCCTCCAGACAATAACTAGAGTCGCGAGAGACAGATTGATTACCACAATAAATAGTTGAATGAAAGAAGACAGACTTTATCTTTCAGGAGTTTTTCCGACAGCTCTGGAAAGGCTTTTCAGACAGATGTGAAAACAGACAAGATCTTGCACATTTCCTGATAATAAGAAACAGCCCCCTTGTTTTGCAACTGCTGAGTCACCACCGACTGAGCAAGAATTCATTATTGTTTTAGCTTTATTAAAATCAAGTCTCATTGCTGAGAATGAAAAAGCAGCAGGTTCTCAATACTCATGATAAGCAGATTGAAGTTCAAAGTCAGTGTGGTGGGATTATTATTAAAAAAAAACAGCTCTTTATGTTTTTGGGTTTTTTAAGTTTGGGGTTGGTACGATTTTTTTATGTTTTTAAAAGAAGTCTCTTCTGCTCACCAATGGTGCATTTATTTGTTTAAAAATACAGTAAAAACAGTAACATTGAACATATACAAAATCCTTCTAATATGCTGACCTGATGCTCAGAAAAATATCTGATTATTATCAATGTTGAAAACAGCTGTGCTGCTTCATATTTTTGTGGAAACACTATAAATGTATAAACATCTTTACTGTGACTTTTGATCAATTTAATGCATCCTTTCTGAATAAAAACAATAATTTCTATCCAAAAAATCTTACTGACCTTACTGAAAATCCTACTTCTTTTGGGAAAGAAAGAAAGAAAGAAAGAAAGAAAGAAAGAAATCTTACTGACCTTACTGAAAATCCTACTTCTTTTGGGAAAGAAAGAAAGAAAGAAAGAAAGAAAGAAAGAATAAAGAAAAATAATAAATAAATAAATAAATAATAATAAAAAATAAATAATAATAATAACATGCTTGGATACAGCACTCTGTGAACAGCCAGCTTCTTTGGCAATGAATGTTTGTGGCTTACCCTCCTTGTGAAATGTGTCAATGATTGTCTTCTGGACAACTGTCCAGTGGCGGCTCATGGGTTTTAAAATAGAGGAGGCACACTAATTGTATTGGTCTGGGATCCCTGCCG